GTGTGTGTGTGTGTGTGTGTGTGTGTGTGTGTGTGTGTGTGTGTGGATGATTTCCTGTACTTGTTGGTTTATAGCAACAGAAAATTGCCAAATTTAGTGTCAGATTCTGTTCTTTCTTCACTAAAGTGATATTATGTTACTGTAAATGTTTTAGTTTATTGTCTGCCTTATCAGGCTTCATTGTGTGTGAACAACAATGACTGAATGATGGGCACGCCCACACAGTGCTGCTGTTCGCTTATTTTCACACCTTCCAGTGCATCTTTACATATTTTCCTCGTGTCATATCTAGAGACATCTAGAGCTGCTGTGAAAAATGCAGGGCCTGCTGCACTGTGGTGTGATCTATGTGGTGCAAAACTGAAAAGAGGAACCATTTTGATAGCTTTGCATTTTGATAATAATTATACAGTCTATGTTCAAAAGATCCAAGTTTTAGTTCAGTATTATTTGTTAACGCAAACAGGCCAAATTCCTAAACACATCCCTTCAGCTGCTCATTAACACCGACATCCAGTCTGTTAATCATATGGCACCAGCTCAATGAGACAAACCTGCTGAGGTTCAAACTGAGCATCAGAAAGGGCAAAAAAGGACATTTAAGTGACTTTGAACATGCCATGGTTGTTTGCGGCAGATGAGCTGGTCTGACTATTTCAGAATCTGCTGATCTGCTGAGATTTTTCCACACAGCCATCTCTAAGGTTTACACAGAAAAGACTGAAAAAGAGAAAATATACAGTGAGCTGCAATTCATAAGGATGAAAATTCCTTGTTGATGCCAGAGTGGCTCCGTGCAGCTCTGGCCCGGTGTTGTCAAAACCACATTAGTTTGCAGCAAACTGATATCACAGTGGCTATATTAGTAAGATATGCATCGCTGTTATTAATCGATGGTGTGGTGATATTGTTTGTGTTTCTCTGACTGAAAAGCATCAGCAGCATGGACTGACTGGGTTATGATGGTGATGAAAATGAATAGATCAGTAACACAATAAAAACTGAACCCAACACTGAAGGAGATTGTCTATTTTTTGTGAGCTTTGTTTTACTCGCATGGTTTAAATACAGTGATAACTGATCATCTTCGATTCATTTCCGTTTTATTTATATATTCTCAAATAAAAACAACAGACGCCTGCAGGTGCTTTATATTGCAGGGTAAAGAGAATCGGACAATCCCCACTAGAGTGGGAAGGAAAAACTCCCTTTTAACAGGATGAAACCTGAGGGAGGGGCAGCCATCTGCTACAAGTTTGGTAAGGTTCTGGGACTGGTCTCACTCAAGATGACAGACTATAGGACATTACTGCAGGATTTACTGATGTGTTGTGTTTTCTGGCTTTCATGGATCTCAGATCTTACCCAGCACTGTCCGTCATCGTCTCCAAAACACCAAATGATTGAATATTTTATAGAAGAGTGGTTGTTCATCCCTTCGTGCCACTTTTGGAGTCACTGTCGAGGTTTGGCAGTGTGGCAGGGAGGTGTGTGTTGTGGCTCAGCTGCAGAGGGAGAGGTGACGTGGATGGTTGAAGGGGAAGCACCAGGAGAAGCTGGAGAGGTGTCGGGACCAAAGAGGAGCAATATTGTGAGCAGCTGGCACGCTGCTGGAGCAATGCCTGGGAAATTTACATTGTACATTGAAAAGTAATAAACATGAAACCCAGAGCACGGTGTGTGAGAGTGTGTGTCATGTGTGTGTCTTGCATTTACACAGCAGAAAGATTGTGAAGTTAACATAACAAGCAGCACTTTGACAGATTACACAGTTGCAATTCACTATTTTGGTTTCCTTTCTTAACCCACCCCTCTTCCTTTTTCTCACTTCCTTTCATCGCCTTCTTCATCTTTGGCATCTTGCGTTCTGTCTTCGCCGCCCATCGTTTAACCGAAATGTTCAGAGGATTGTTCCTCACTTTTAAATGAGCTAGCAGTTCTGGATGGAAATATCAGTTTGCTCTTTCCTTCTTAGCCTACGCCTGTTTCACTGAGCTCTTTAAGCTTTCTAGCCGTGTGAGAGGAATAAGATGTTTAAGATTAAGCACTTGCTTTTGCTTTCTTTCTGGGTGTTGTCATGTTCATGTATGCAGTTTTTTTTTTAAAAAAAGCTGTGTAGAAGAAATCATATAGGGCAGGGGTAGGCAACTCCAGGCCTCGAGAGCTGGTGTCCTGCAGGTTTTAGATGTCCTTGATCCAACAGCTGATTTAAATGGCTAAATTAGCTCCTCAACATGTCTTGAAGTTCTCCAGAGGCCTGGTAATGAACTAACCATTTGATTCAGGTGTGTTGACCCAGGGTGAGATCTAAAACCTGCAGGACACCGGCTCTCCAGGACTAACGTTCCCTACCTCTTATGTAGAGGGTTGCAGTTTCATTCACAAGCAATGCGTAGGACCCGATGGCCTGATATCTCAATGTTGTGTAAAATAATACCTATGGAGTTCCCCTAGTTACACTTTTTGTAAACAAAGGTAAACAAGTGACTTCTTGCATGTGACTCATTCCCACAAATAGTTTGTCATTCTTCAAGTGAAAACCACCAGGTGCAACATGCAAGCTCAACAATTCACACCTTGGATAAAAATAAGTGAAGGTCACAGGATGGAGACTTTAACATGTATGAACGTGGACATGGAGACCGACCCACATTTGTGTGGGTCGGTCAGCTTGTGTAAATGAGTGTAAACAACACTGGATCAAAAACATTCTGCTCTCTGATGTTTTTGAGGAAATACATGGAACTAATTTCGCAGACATTGTTCATGATCTGCTGAACTTGAACTGGATCTCCTGAGCGGTTAGCCCTCTCCCCTCACAGCAAGAGGGCTGTGGGTTTGAACCTGTGGGTTGGCTAGGCCCTTTCCTCAGTTTGGGAAGTTACCATGTGACCTGTGCCTGTGTGTGTACACCGATCTTCTCCAGACGCATGCATTAAGTTAACTTACAATTCTAAATTGGCCATAGTTGTGAATGTGAGTGTGGATGGTTTTCTGGCTCTGTATGTTAACCCTGCAGCTGGAGATCAGATGTCCCTCTTTAAGTAGGACTACACAGGATTTTTTCTGTCCCACATCTTGAGACAATGTCCCACATTTTGACTGGCTATGGCTGTGTCCAATGCTATGTACAGTGAAAGTCACAAGATACCAAAAAGGCACAGAGTCAAAGTTACACTGCAAATTTTGGTGAATGTGACGGAAACAGGAGAAAATGTGGTGTGAAGTGACACAGTATGTGTGTCATAATTTGCTAAAAATGGCTAAAAGGTCTGCTATAGGTCAAAAAAGGATGCTGAAACTCAAAGACTGGTACCAGACAGAACACCAGCAGAAATAACAGAGTATATAAAGACTGTTGCATGAGACCACAGGCGATTTATTCTGTTTACTTAGTGAGAGTTGGAAAGGTTTCATTAAAATATAACATATTTGAATGCATTGTTGATCTGGTTATAGTCTAACATTCAGTCTAATGTTAATGTTTTTGTCTCTCACTCCAGAAACTACAGCAAGCCTGCATCTAGCATCCTAAACACAATGTGTGACAAACCTCACTGCTGAGCTGAGAAGTTGTATCTAAATTTATCTGCCACTTATAAAAACTAACTCCATTTACACTGACTCCTCTTTTTTAGTGTTGCATGCTCAAATAGTGCAATTGCAACTTTCACACCTGCACCATGAACAGGTTACAGGAAAGCGATGTCACACAATGTCAACCTGCTGCGCACAAAAATATAACTTGCTCATTATGAAGTTTTAGTCTCATATGCAATATGATTTAATCACGTATTTATTGAAAGTCCCACCTCTCACCCTGTAACAGCAGAAATTACTACTAGAAAAGCTCAGTCTAGTTTTTTGAAACTAGACTCAGCTTTTCTGAGATTATTACAAATTTGAGCTGCACTACTTTTTTCAGATTAAGAGGACTGCCACGGGTGCAGCGACTGCTTCAGCATCTAAGTTGTTGGTTCCTGTTTGGTGTTAGTTATATGCCAACCTCCAGTTTGGTGTTTTTTTGGTTATTTTTAGTCTCCTCTGTGTTTCCCTTCTGTTATTCTACCCTGTGTTTTGGGCATTTATATCATCGTTCCTCTTATTGGCCACAAGATGGCAATCTAGCTCCATATTTATGGGTATGTGAGCTCTAAAATGCATAATGTCTGAGACTGCCGTGACAATTGCTGACCGCCGGGGCCACTATTTCCTGTTTGTGTGCGTGTGTTAACACTAATAAAGCTGCATTTCTGAGGCTGAGCGGTCTTTGATCAGAAGAATTGCAAATTTTAACACTTTGATGTGAGCTTGCCACTCTAGTGTCAAAAGTGGGATTTAAGATTAGCCTGGAAATTGCGAGACCCAAGAACTAGAAAGAGCCACTGAGCAGAACGTTTGTCGTCTGGAAAACTGAAGCAGATGAAGCAGCCAGTGATGGTTCAAGATTGTCAGCCCACCCTGGCTCTATGGCTCACTTGTGGAGAGGAGGATAATTTTGCTGAATACAACAAATCCATAGTGTATCGTCACCTTCCAAAGTAAAAAAATAAAAATAAAACAAACCCACCTCTACTGGCCCACATCCCCAGTTCAGGACAGCCTGCAGCAACGTCCAAAACACCACCCAAGCTGCCAAAGTATTGTGGGCTAAACAACAAGACACCACCGATCGAGGCAATCTACAACAACCAGACAATGCTGTGCGCTGTCCAGGTGAGGTGCTTATTAGGCATAGATTATTTAACTGTGTGGCAACATCTCAGTACAGATTTCATAATTATTTTAAACATTGTAGTTTTGCAACTTTCACCAGAGCCCGCAGGTGATGAATATGAAGTAGGGTAATGAAAGAATAAAGTAGCCAGACCGGTCTTTGTGCCAGGGGACAGTGTCTGGATGTGCTGCCCTGTATGCATGAAGGGCTTGCAATCATGACAGGGCTAAGCTGGTGTATCAGCAGCGGTGGATCTAGAGAAATTTTCTTAGGGTGGCAAAGAAATCACATGGGGTGGCAAAATCAAAGCCTTTTTTTTCACAAACACACATTCAAATGCAATAAGTATACACGTTTGTCATGTAAATATCATCTATAACTTAATTATTTTCTGTAGCCCACATAATTAAACACTTTAGTTACATAAAACATGTGATTTTATGTACTGTATGGCCTGTATAATAAATAAATATGTAGCCCAAAATCCAGAAAGCTACACAACATGGGGCGGATCATTTACAAACACAAATCTAATTTAAGTTTCACACTGTTTTTTGTTAGAAAAAAAAATCTAATTGTTACATGCTTAAATTACACAAAATGTCAGAAATCTGCAGTGTCATGAACAAAAATCTGTGTTGAAGTCTGTTGGAGGTGCAGCGAGTCCGTGGACCCCAGAGGGTTAATAACACTCACCTTCATTCCATTTCCAGAGTGTAACAACCAACCACCTGTGTGAAATCTGAAATTCCCATGGTGTTGTTCAAAATGTGCTCTGGCACAATCATAAGCATCTTGCTACTGAAAACTAGAAAAGAAGACTGTCTGTGCTATGGGCTGAACCATTTGTTAATGGAGGGGGGGGGAACACTATGCGATATATTCAGTTTTAGCATTTATATTCACTGTTAACTGTAACTACGCTCAAAGTGCTAATGCTATGTTATTTTAACAAACAACACTGTCATATGCAAAACTATGGTGGCACTTGGGGTGGCAAGAGATCATTTTAGGGTGGCACTTGCCACCCCATGCCACCCTTCTAGATCCGCCCCTGTGTATCAGGCACGCATGGCGAGCTGTGGGTGTATGGTGGTATTGTACCAGGACAGGATTTCACCATATTACCCCCTCACCCCTTCCTATACACACCCCAAAAACCTACCCTGTGCAACAGTTGACTGGGAGAATTGGTCAGTTATTTTATAAGTATTCTGACATCACCAAGGAAGCTGTGCACGCCTCTCGGTCATGTTACAGCCACCAGAGCTGGACACAGAGCTGGCCGCTCTGAGTTAATTAATGTTAAACTAGCTCGTGTTAAACTGGTGGAAGGTTCCTCACTGAAATGTCTGCCACCTAAAGTTAAAAATAAACTGGCAGCATTTAGGTTTTTCTCCTCTTCCTCTTTTTTCTTCTTTCTTTCTGCTTTTCAATTTTCATTCTTGTTCCTAGCTGCCATTCACTGAAACACAACTATGAATGCCACTTGAACTGTAAGAGGCACGAGTGGGGTCCTTTCAGGGAGGCCAGGTCTCTGCTGTCAGAGACCTGCTGGCACTAGTCTGGGCCCCAAGCATCTGTCTGGTGGTTGACCACAATCTTAGGCTCAGTCTCTGTCTCTCTCACACTCACAGACTCTCTCTCCTCTGTCACGCTGTCACACATTTCCTGCACTCACATACAGTGGTAAGTGTCAGTGGCGAGAGAGGACCGGTCTTACCTCCAGAGAAAACACGTGGAAATCGAGGGACAAGGAAAAAAGTGGAAGGAAAATGGAAAACTATGTCACTGCACTCACTTTTGGGATTTTCATGCTCAGTAAGAGACACTTCTTTGCTTGGTGGCTAATTAACTCTGCTGGTGCCCTTTTATTTAAAAAAAGGAAGAAAAGAAAAAGTGATGTATTTTTAAAATAGTTTTCATGTTATGTTTATAGTCAACAGGATTTAGGAAGGTGTTTTATAAAAATAAGTGATATCTTTTGCAACTATCGTTATCACTGTGCATTATTTACCTGCTCTGTCTCATACATCTTTATCAGTTCATTTTGCCATTGTAGCTAAACAAGTGCTAAAAAGTACTCGCAGGCATTTTTGGTAAATAACTGCAACAGTGTTGGGCAGGCGATCGTTTGACACGAAGCCAAATATTAATCCCCGTTTTGAAGTCTGCCAATTTAATATTTCATTTTTGACTATCTTTTTAAAAAAAAAAAAAAATTTAAACAAAAAATAGTGCATTTAACATCCAATTGATTTGTAACTTTTTGAGTGAAACAGAGGTTTTGGTTGGTATGTTGGATTAAGCCGAATTGAAAAGTCAATCAAAGAGATTGAAAATAAATGTCTCTCAGTCTCTGTCCAGTTCAGCCTCTCATTAGCCCGAGCGAACTGTACTCCCACTAAGACCAGTTAGCCAACATGAGTTGACATGGTCCCATTAACCTGCTGAGAAGTGATGGCCCGGCCATAAAGATGAGCTGTATTATTATGATCAGGCTCGGCCAGTTCCCTGGTTTCCCTGGTTTTCTCCACAGGGACAAACCAGGACCTGTTCACTGGCATACCTGAATATATGCCCTACAGGAACTGTCCCATTACACATCACATTAGTACTCTGGGAGAGGAGGAAGCCTCTTTAATGTACTTCCCCTTTTACTGTGACCACCAGACTTTCATTTTCCTATCCTGTAACGAGCCATAAAACGTCTGCATTTTTTCCCTTTTTAACGGTTTCTGTTTTGATATTTTTGAGTGCACCTCCAAAATGTTTTAGTGGTTTTATTTCTTTAAAAAAAAAAAGGTGCTGCAATGTTTGGGATTTGTGTTTGTTCGTTGTTGCAAATCCATCAATTACAAACAAGTGGACACTTAAAACATCTGTTGTAGGTGAAGTTCAGAAACCCTGAGTGGACTGTTGGAGCTGCATCTGAGTTCTTTGACCTGGTATTGCAAATGTGTGAATTTTTTTCACTTTCAAATTTTGTTTTAAAATACTTTGAATTAAATCGGAAAGATGTTGGTGGTTGGTCACATGATAGTAACTTGTATTAGTTGCATATTAGCTTTCTTGAGACCAACATGTCAATTATCCATCCCTAATGTGAAGATAAAGACAGCTTAAACTGTAGACTACTGCTGACAGACGGTGAAGTGAAACATAATGTGGCTTTTATGAAGTTTTGTCACTTATGAAACGGAAAACACTCAGCAGGCTGACTCATACATGCACATCGTGCTTTTTCTTGACGTTGTGGCCAGATTTCTGGTTTACATTTAAAAATAGAAGATTTCTTCTTGCTCTGTAAAAATGCTTCCTCGTTTGTAGACCTCTGCTGACTGCTGAAGCTTAATAATTTCTAACATTAATAATAATAATAATACATTTTATTTGAGGGCACCTTTCTAAAACCCAGGGTCACCTTACAGAGAGAAAACGACATCAATAAAACAGTAGATTAAAATAGATTGTAATAAATTAAAATACAGAAACCAGCAAAATACAACCACAAACAAAAAACACGATTTGACAGCAAGTAAAATCTGTATTAAACCAAGTTTGCAATTTCTGAAACCTGTTACATAAAGTCTGTAGATGTAAGAGTATTTTTTATTCTGGGGAAACCTGGATGAGTACACTTCATCTGAGGTCTCCTACATCAAGCACTCCATGAACACCGTCGCCACCAACAAATGCATCTGGGGATCTGCCAAACTAAAAACCCTGGCTGACGAGGAGATTTGCCTGCACAGGATGACCCCAGAAAGTCATCAGCACAGTGCTCTCCTCTTCTTAGAGGAGCTCTACAGGTCTCACTGCCACAGTAAAGCCCTGTAGAGCTCCTGGAGTACGCATTTCACCCAGCACCTCACCTGTTTCAATTGTTACCTCAGCAAGGTGGCACATGAGACAAAGGCCTGTTTATTTCACCTTCGGTGATGTCGCATTTCTAAGGAAAGTGCCAGTGCCAAAACAGCTATTTCTGCTATTGAGCCTTGTTTGGTGTCTCTTTTGTTGTGGAAACATGTGGAAGAACCACACACAGCCACAACAGCCTGGCTGCTCCTCCTCATGCTGGTCTGGATGCCAGGTGTGGTCACACACTGACCAAGCTTGGCTTCCTGTTCTTCAGCCAGGATTTGTTGCAAGTCAGCCAGTGTGGCTTTCACCTGACTGTCCATGATTAAAACATTGAACAGTGTCATTGTCAAACATGTCATTACCTTATTCAAGCTGCTACAGGCCCAGCAAACTTCAATATGACCTCAATAGTCTGTTGTACTGAGGGGCAAATGTATATAAATACAGCGTATTCTTCATGTAAATTCTATTTTTGCTTCATATACAGAAGGATTTTCTTTCATCTTAGAGGTTTCAGAGTCCAACTCAGCCTCCACACATAGTTTTTTCTGTTATAGACTTTTAATCTTTTAAAATGTTTTCTGTGTTCTTCAAGGTGGGTGCTCGGCCCGTGTGGTGACGGTGCCTCCTGGTCCATTAATCCGGGTGGAGGGCCAGCCAGTCTCCATCAGATGTGATGTCAAAGAATACACAGGACCTAGTGAGCAGGTCATTTCCCCAACACACACACACACACACACACTGGAATTGAAAGAGTTGATCCAGCACACACACACAGCACACACCACACACACACACACACAGATAGTCTAGAAGTTTTTGTTGTTTGTTAGTTTGATGGGTTACACTTTGAAATGATGCAAATGACCACCCTGTGCAGTGGTTTCTACTGTCACAAATATAGTTAGTGAATTATTATTATTTTAGTTTCTTCCTCAAACTGTTGAACATCGTCTACATTGTCGAACGTGCCTCAAAAATGAACTAATAGTGGATTTGTTGTGAGCTTATTTTCAGAAGTCAAGAATGTCATGTGTGAGACTTTGGTCCCTCACATAAATTTTTATTATTTTTATTACTATTATTATTGTTTTGGGTTTTTTTAGAAAACATATGCTCCTCTGCTTCAAGTCTGAATGTTGTTAAAAGTTTGCCCTAATATAACATTCACATCGTCTTTGTTCCTCTCTTTTCCTGCAGGATTTTGAATGGAATATGTTAAAGGATGCTAAAGGGCAGAAGACAAAGATAATCTCCTCTTTCGACTCTCGCTACTCCGACCAGTCTTACAGCAAGCGCGTGGCGTCCGGCGACATATCGGTGGTGCGTTTCCAAGACAACGAGGTGGAGCTGAAGATTGCTGAGGTGAAGTTGACGGATGCTGGCTTCTACGAGTGTCAAACACCGAGCACCGACTACGTCATCAGTGGAAATTATATTGCTCAGGTCCAACTCACAGGTATGAAAGTGTGTGTATTTAACCATTCTGACCAATGCCTC